GGCCCCCTGGGCGCATTTTCAGTCGTCTTCGAGCAAACGCGTCCGGCACTTGGCTGTCGATTCAGGAGATGCTTGCTTCAGCAAGATCTCCATTTGCAACGCTCTGCGGAGATCGCTTCAGGCCTTCGGGGTCCGATGCGATGCGGAATCATCGTGTTGGAGTCGCGATCTCTGAAAATACTTGCAGGCCTGTCTGTGAAAAAGCCTCTTCTGAAAAGCCGCGACGGGCTTCCAGCTCTCTTTCAAGAATGATTCCGGAGACTTCGGGTCACTCTCTATAGGCGCAGACCCCCTCTCTTTGAGAGTCGCGACAGCGGAACCGAACTGGAGAGCATTACTCGAACGCATCGACACGGTTCGAGGTTCCAAAGGCGTCTGCTTACAGGGCTTCTCTGGAGCTTCGAGGGGGATGTTCGCTGTGCCGAGGGCTGCACGAACAGAAAGGCGGGTGTTCCGGAACAAAACTGCTGAAAGATGCAATTTGATCGAGGAACCCTTCAGCTGTCGCTTTCTCAGCCGGGGTCTGCGTTCTGTACAATAGGGAAAGATCAGCCTTGAGCGTGCCATCGTTCGGCACCATGCGACGAGGCCCAGCACAGTTGCCACGGTCGCCAAGGACAATGGTACCATGGCAGCTAGCAGACTGCCCTGTGTTCTCTGTCGCTGTTTATCCTTGCTGAGCATGACACTCCTAGCGGCATGTTCGTATCGAAGCCTGAACACTTTCAGACCGCCGTTAAGCGCACGAAATATGGGCAGACTTTAGCCCAAGATGCTGAACCTTGCTATTCTGATCCTACTGTAGCAGGTATAGGCCCTAAATCCGAAAGGCTGAACCCAAAGAACCTAGTTTGTCGGTTTGGAGATCTTCGTGATGATGCTGGCTTTCTGGACTTGTCCGGGTCGGGGTCAATCTTTCACTAAGGATCCGATCAAACCCGGCGGAAAGAACTCGTGCTACCACTGGTGATGACTTGTGTGGTCGCCATCTGCATCTGGGAGGTGACGAAGTGGATTTCTCTGCTTGTGTGGAGGGAGCTTTCGTGCTAAGAAGGCTCAACAGAACAAGAATGGCTCCAAAGACCAAACAAATTCGGGGCCGTGGTGGCACAAACAGCAGGGAGGCAGAATCAAATGAAACATCTGGCATCAGGATAGACCGTGCGAATAGCTCCAATCCTCGGCGGGCTGCTTCGGGAACTTTTTTCAGGTGCTAATGTAGGGGCCTTTATAATTAGAATAGGTTTTTTGTTTTTTTTTTGGGGGGGGGGTCCTGATTATAATTATAGTATAATATACCCCAAGGTTTCTTAATATAATTATAGTATAATATACCCCAAACCCTATTCTAATTTTTTGAAGGCTCCTATACTAGGGGCAGGTGTCAACGCCAAGCTGTGGTACTTGGAGGGACTTGAGCTTCGCCTTAGGGTTTAGAGGGTTTAGGGTTTAGGGTTTAGGGCGTATAGGGTTTAGGGTTTAGGGTTTAGGGGCTATAATATCGATAGATTCGGGTGACTTCCAACCAAACTGCTAATCGACCGACCACTTAATCCCCAAACACAGAACTCCGAAACCCTGAAACCCCCGCTGCAATGCTGCAATACGTTAAGACCATCAAAGCCGTAAACCCCGAACCCTCACAGGGTAAAAACTTCGGTCGGTTATGTATTGAACAACCGCATCTTCAAGTCTCTTCGACGAGGAAGGCACTCGTCCGACTTAGGGTGTAGGGGCTTTGGTTTAGGGCTGGACTTCGGCTTGCAGCTCAAGTGTTTAGGGTCTAGATCAGGGCTTCACGTTCCAGATTCGGGTTGAGATTTAGGGCGTAGGAAGTGATTCACTTAGCCCAAATGCCAAGCCTTGAAATCGCCCAACCCTAAACCCTAAACCCCCTAAACCTCAAACCCCCTTCACCCTAAGCTACAGCTACAGTCAGTTGAGAAAAATTCTTTGGGGATTCGAGGAACTGGCACTCCCCTACACCCTAGGCGATCTAGACCCCAAACCTTAAAACCCCTGGATCCGTGAACCCCCAAACACCCAAGCCGCAAGCTCTGCAACCTACAATCAGCGAATCTCAAGGGTTTAGGGCTTGAGGTTAGGGTTTAGGGCTTCCCCTCAAGTCTCAGAACGGAAACCCTCATCCAACTTGTAGCACCCATGTAAGCCTCCATGGCCCTGAACCCTAGAATGGCCCAAGACAGGCTTCGCTGTCGTTGACTTCTTCGATGCCCTGGAGCACCGTTGCGGGGGAATCTGGGGAGGCTTTGGGGTTTAGGCTTTGGGGATTAGGGCTCGGGGATTCGGGTTCAGGGTGCAGGGTTTAGGAACTCTTGGTTGAGGGTCGAGGGCATGGAGGGCATGGGAGTTGAGGATCGAAACGGTTAAGGTTTTTTTTTGGGGGGGGGCTTAAAACAGCAGGAAGAGCTGAGATCTTGGAAGGTGTAGGAAGCTGAGGTTTCGAGTTTCGGGCCCGGGAAGTTTAGGGTCGATCGCACAACCCTAAACCCTAAACCCTTACACCCTATATAAACCCTAAACCCGAAAAAAAAAACCTAAACCCTATAAGCCCTAAACGCTAAACCCTACGAACCCCCCTAAACCCTATAAACCCTAAACCCGAAACCCGATAAACCCCCAAACCCTATCGCTTGGGGCTTCAGGGTCTCGGGGGCTTCGGCGTGGGGTGCTGCCTCTGGCAGCCCGAAACATCAGGCTGGGGAGCTTCGGCTTAACGGATTAAGGGTTTAGGGCTTAAAGGGGTTGTTTAGGGTTTCGGGCTTAGTGCTTTTAGGGGTTTGGGGTTTAGGGGCTTAGTGCTTTTAGGGTTTTGGGGTTTAGGGTTATGTTCAACAGAGTTCAATTGTGAGTTCAATCGTTGCAGTGTGGTCTTTGGAGGGGCTTTCGGCAGAGCACCTGACCCTTTGGGAAGCTCTGTAAGTCAGGGCCCTTATTCGACGGGGTTCAAGGCCCAAGCCCTAATTCCGAATCCCTAAACCCCAATGCCTCACCCCCACTTAATGCCAAACCATCCCATACCGACGCCACAAACCCCACACAAAGCTAGAAAGCCCTTCACCCAGCCCCTGAACTCCATGAAAACCCGACACAAAGCTACCGCTACCGCCTACTCCTTCAGGATGCGGGGCCGAAGCGGCAGCAGCTGCAGCCCAGACCCCCAGGTCGCTTGAGGGTTTCAGGAATCTGGTTTAAGGTTTAGGGTTTAGGCTTCTGGCTTCGATGCTTTCGGGCTTGACAAACAGCCCAAGCTCCAGCCCTCAACACCGTACGACGCAAACGCTGAACCTGAAAACCACTACATCCCGGGGTTCAAGATTCGGGGTTGAAGGCTTCATGCTGTGGTGTCGCAAAGTCGGCATTTTCTGATCTTCGCCGGCAACCCACGCTTGAGCCGACTGCCCTGCCCAGAAACGCGAAAGAGTCATGTGGTCTGTTTCGACGAGGGTTATTGCAAAGGTCACCAGAGGGGTACTGCAAGCTTGTAAGGCTTCACTCTTGGGTCCCTTGAGATTTCAGGCCTCTTTCCCTGAACAGCATCTCAGGATTACATTAGAAGGTTTCTATAGAAGGCTGGGTGGCCAAGAGAAAGAGGATCGTATACCCCCATGGAATCCTTCCCCAAGGACCTCCCTGATTCGAATGGGGTTTTGGGTGTACACTGCGATTGAAAGGGGACGGCACGGGGATAGCATTACCAAGTCTTACGACCCCAATATTGCGTGCTTGCGTATGGGTCTACGTGTTTCGAGTAAAGCTCAGAGTTGTAGTACCACTTCGGTCATCCAAGCATGGGAGACAGCGGCAGTTCCTTGCAGCTACACTTTCTCGGCAAGCCTGTGTCGGCTTCCACCCCACAGGGCACCTGTGGTTCACAATGTCAGAGACAAGGCACCCGGCACACGTAGTGCGTGCTGGGCCCGTGGTCATGCACCACGTTTGAGGAATTCCGCAACCGGGTTGCGGAAGCTAAAAAGGCCAAACCTGCTACTATGAAAGGCGTCCAGTCAGTGGTACCTTGAACCACTACGACGCTCTGACAACTGCTGTGACCCATAAAACAAAGAGCACAGTCAGATGGAAATCACCCCTCTGGCACATTGTTGCCAAAAATTGCATGCACTATACGGTTGAATTGCAAGAGCCCACCAGCCTCCAGCACTTAGAGGGCGCGTGAATTCCCGAATTCGAAACTCAACCAAAAACACATCGCTGCCTTCCGCGAGTATGTGTTCAGATGTCAGGACAGAACAGACATAGATAGTCGCAGGATGCTAGCAAGCACCTTCAGCCACTATGAAGAGACATAATTTCACGACTGGTGAGAGCCACAGCTGCCCAAACATGATGTACAGCCCCTTTCTTTAAGCAACCACCATAGTAGCATCCCTCTTATTTTCCTTACCTGTGCAGCCCGGGTCTATGTTCTGACCCATGGAAAGCGGGTACAGGCCAGGACGACTCGTGCTTTGCGAGCAGGGCTCTGGCCGTTGCGAACATCTCCCGCCTTTCAGACTCCTCCAAGCCTGCTTTGGGCTCAGGGGTTTAGGGCTTATGGCCTTGGGTTTAGGATTCTGGGTTCAGGATTTTGGTGTCACCCTAAGCCCGAAACCCCAAACCCCAGGGGTGCTCCTTTCTGTTGTTCTCCTGTCGGGGTTCTCCATTTTGTGCAGGGCTTCCGGTCCAAGTGTGGCGACTCTACGGTTGCCCGGTTGAAGGTGGCTGCGGTGTTGCAAACGTTTGAGGCCCTGCGACGACATCAAGACACCGCTTTTTCTCGGGGTACCCATGCCTTAACCTGCAGGGCGCAAGGACCCAAGTAGTGCGCAAGGAGCCAAGTAGTAGTGGGGAGGGTCGGTCGGCACCGAATACTGCACTCTGAATAGCTTGTGCTGCCTGACCTAACTTTCCATTGCTTGAGAGATTGGACCCTTGACATAAATCCCAGCAAAAAAGAAAGCAACACTGGATAAGAACCCCTACGGCCTGAGAGTAAACCAATCCGAGAGGCGGGTTGGCTTCAGGCTTCGGAGATGCGCAAGCACCAGCTCCCGCGGATGCGACGCCGGCTCGGCGTGCAAACCGATGGACTTTAGCAGCTCCTCCAGAATTCCCGGGGTTGGAGTTTAGGGCTTGCACCTTGGGACTTAAGGTTTAGGAGTTGAGGGTTTGGGCTTTTGGGTGCTCAAACCTACACTATGCCCCTAAACCCTCAACTCTCAACCCTAAACCCTAAACCCTCAACCACAAACCCTCAACCCTAAACCCTAAACCCTCAACCCTCAACCCTAAAGCCTAAACCTAAACCCTTAACCTCAAGCTCTAAAGCCCAAGCTCCGGCATGGTGGCGTTGCTGCGTGGGTTGGGCAGGGATACCAAGGCCTTGGCTTCCCTTTCCGCCGAGCCGGTCAGCTTCTTCTCTCGTAGCCTTTATTGCTTCGGGTTTAGGGTTTAGGGTTTCAGGGTTTAGGGTTCAGGGTTTAGGGTTTAGGGTTTAGGGTTTAGGGTTTAAGGTTTAGGGTTCAGGGGTTTAGGGTCTGGGGTTTAGGGTCATACGACATTACAAGCGGAATGGAGACCACACTACACTGAGCTTGGGGCCCTTGCGCACGAAATGTATTTATAGCTGTTTCTTAGGGATTATAGTAACCAGAAATTGTAACTTTAGCTGTTCCTTAAGGATTATAGTCTATAATCCCTAAGGAACAGCTAAAATCACAATTTCTGGTTACTAAATTATCGTATCCAGAAAGTTAACAATTGTTTCCACGTACCCCCCAAGGAGCAGTCGCCGCAGGGAGATGCTTTGGAGGAGCTTGATCTTCTGGATCTTTCCTTGCCGTCTTGCAACTTAGCTCTTTACTTTAGGGGCCTGAAGGATTCGAATTGGGTTTAGGGGGTATATGATACCATAGCTATTACGGAAGTTGCTATCAGTTACTGCTTTGTGTGGAGCCGTAGAAAGCTAAATAACAGTTCTCGTAATGTCACTTGGAATCTTGCTCGAACTCGCTGCAGCGGTTAGTGAGTACATGACTTTCCTGGTGCAACCTGATCTGACCAACTTCCTTAAACCTAAACCCTAAACCCAGCTTGAACTGTTTCAGTTCCGTAAAAGGTACCCAGCTTCGGTTGATCCGTTGCTCGGTGATATTCCTCTTGCGACCTTGAAGGTCGGTGCAGACGCCACTCACCTAGTCCATGGCTGGAATACTAAGAAACATCTGAATGTCTGTTCCAACGGTTTAGGGTCTAGGTTTTAGGGTGCAGGGTTCAGGGTTTAGGGTTTTTCTTGGGTTCAAGTACCCATAAACATGTAAAATGTCAACCAGTTGTGACATGGTTACAAGGGCAGATGTCACGCTGCCGGTGGCAGAGAAGGCAGAGACGAGGTTGAGACTGCCCAGGGCACAGCCGGCAGCCACGTTCAGCCCAGTGATGCAATTCGTCGCAGCTGCGGCAATGAACTTCCCGACGTTCCAGAACATGAGCATGATTTCCTAGGTTCCTGTTCCCTAAACCCTGAACCCTGAACCCTTTTTTCCTCATATCCGGCTTCAATAAGGAGACCTTCAAAAAGGCTACTACTCAGGAACCCTAGTTTCGTTGATCACCTGGGAACAGTCCGCCTCGCCCCCCCTCGGAGGCGGGCAAAGCCTCGTGGAGATCTCGATGAGGGGGCCGGCCCGCATCGCAAAGAGAATGCTCTGGGCAATCTGCCATGTGCAGAAAGTGTTCTTCAGCTTCCTGGGATCCGTCGGAAAACCTCTAGACTCTAAAACCCTCTATCTAAACACAACACCCCTGCTACTAGTTCAACAACACCCAAGCTTCGTTGAATCTGGCTCCGTCGCATTCCGAATCACCACGTAGAGCTTCCGAGCCTCGGCCTCCGTCGGCTGACCATGGGAACTGTTACCCAGGCGCCGCTCCTGTGGTCTTTCTACGGGTTTAGGGTTTAGGGTGTAGGGTTTAGGGTTTAGGTGAGGGTTGAAGGTGGATGGTTTGGGGTTTTACGGTTCTAGAGCTCCCAAGGACAAACAAGGTCTCTCGAAGGGTTTCGACGGCCGTTTTCCGGGTTCAGAAGGATGTATATGTATATGTATATGTATATGTATATGTGAATGTGTATGTATTATGCATCTATGCATGCATGCATGTATGTGTGTATCAGGGCCCAAGAAACGCTTTCCGGCGATAGCTGAAAGCCCAGGCCCATTAGGGTCGCCGTGGTGATCACTGACGGTGTCACCACCAAGAACCCAGGCAAGGAGGGCAGTCTCCGCGGTCTTCCTGAAGCCATTGACTGGCGACTGGGTTTCAGCCTGGTTCATAGAAAAACTGCAATGCGGCAAGCTGGCTCAAGAGGTGGCTGATGTGATGAGTCAGCAACCAGCGCGGCGAATGATTCGGGGAACCATTGCCTGACCAGGACCGGCTGGGGCACAGGAGGCCAGGGTGCCACGCATGCGGCGTGAAGATGTGCCATAAGCAGATGCGGTTGCACTTCTGGAAGCACGGAGGCCACAAGGGGGAGTGCAGCAACCTTTCCCCATTGCAGCGTCTGTGCCGGGGCATGGAGCCTCCACGGTCGTCTGCGCTACTGTCTCAAGCAGTCCGCGAATGCCTGCCAGAAGAGGTGCCCTGTCGTTGGCCCTGTCCGCGAATGGAGCCTTTTGCATGATTTGCATGATAAATCGTTGCAACCCGCAGATGATGGTCAGTGGTTGCGACTTTGTTTTGATGCTTACCGCAGTGAGGGTTTGCGGGTCATGAAGACGGTTTTTTCGATGCTGGGTCGGTCGGGTAAGTCTCCTGGGCTCTTCCCCACAGGGCTGTGAGGCCAAGGCCTGGGCAGTGCTGATTTCAATGCCGGCGGAGTACATAAAGCCCGTGTTTGAGCTTCGCAAGCATTTCATGATATGCATGCTTTGATAGGCTGCTTCCAACCCGAAAGCCGTGCCGTCGAAAACGGAAGCAAAAGAGAGGTGTGTGTGTGTGTATGTATATA